GAAGAAGAAACTCAACGCATTGAACGTGAAATTTTTAACCTCTTTGGGATTCGCAGTGCGCAAACAATGATTGACATTCTCAATATCAACGAAGAGCTAATCTTCGACGAGCGCATCGTCAAGATTGAGACTCACTCGTACAATCCGTTTGCCAACACTACATTCGGGCACAGCGATGAGATAAGAATACCAATACAACAACAAGATCTCTATACGTTGCCGCATGAAAGTTTTCTGTACATCGAGGGAAAACTAACTACTGCCAATCAAATCGATGGATCTGATGTAGTACTGGGAAATAATTTGGTGTCGCGTTCATGTTCGACGAGATCCGATATGAACTTGATGGTGTGGAGATTGATCGCGCCAGAAATGTTGGAATAACCAGCACGCTCAAGACCTATGTCTCGTCATCGTTCGATAAAATGATGTCTCTGAAGAATGCCGGTTGGGATGTGGTGAACAATGGAACCGGAGACTTTAATTTTTGTGTGCCGCTCATCATGCTATTGGGATTCTGTGAAGATTATCAACGCGTGGTGATTAACGCCCGTCACGAATTGATTTTAATACGATCGCGCAATGATAACAACTGTCTCTTTGGAAATGCAGCGATGGAGCCTAAACTTGAATTATTCAAGATACAGTGGCGCATGCCGCATGTGTTATTAAACGAGGTGAACAAACTGTCGATGCTGCGTGCTTTGGAACGCGGTCAATACCTCAATATGGGATTTCGTTCATGGGATCTGTACGAGTATCCGCTATTGCAACAGACGACTAAACATTCATGGGCTATTAAAACGGCTACTCAGCTCGAAAAGCCGCGGTATCTTATCTTTGCTCTGCAAACAGGTCGGAAGAATATCATGTCACAGAATGTGAGCCAATTCAGTCACTGGAAATTGAGCAACGTGAAACTCTATCTGAATTCGGAATGTTATCCATACGATGATATGAATCTGGATTTCGATAAAAACAAATAGTCGAGTCTGTATGATGCGTTTTCGCGGTTCCGGAAGAG